AATATGTCGTGGAGAACATGTAGAGTTTTAAAATTCGACACAAAATGTTACACAGTTACGGTCCTTTAACTCCAAAATAATCTTAAATTTGAAAAAGAACATGAAATTAAGACTAATAAAAAAAATAAACTACAACCTGTAATTAATAAGAATCTCCTTCAGAAATAATTTCACCATAGTTGGTATAATAGCTACAACGTAGTTCGTAGACAACTATCTGCTACGGCTAACTATAGTAGTGCTACGTGATCTATCGCTACGTAGCATAGATCTGCTACAACGTAGCAAAGACACTAATGTTTACAGTCCGCGTTTTCTTCCTTTTTTTATTATGAAAAATGCAACAGAATAGACTTGCTACATCAATTGATTATAGAGTATTGAAGAGCTTCATACACAGGATGATATACAAAGTATTTTACCTATATACCTCAAGAAGTAAGTATGTGTGCGCGTTCATTTGCATTGTTATCATGGTCTTTTATTTATTTTTTCATACAACAATAAAATCGAATAAAAAACTAAAGCAGTCTGTGGTTTCGTATCCTGCAAGATCGTACATCTTCATTTCCATCGCATTATTCATCATTATTGGTTTAAAAACTATAAAATTGAAGGAGCCCTAATTAAGAGCGAGCTGGCGGCGCTGCGGGACGGTCCCGCTCCGCCATGCAGCCTTGGTTACATTAAACCCCCCGCGTTAATATCGGTTACCATAGCAACGGGCCGATTACTGCATCTACTCGATTTTTCGCCGCTTTTTCCGTTGTAATCAAATGAGGTGCGACGTGTGTGGGGTGTGTGTGTGGGGTGGGAGTGGGGACAGGGGGTCGCGGGGGTGTCACGCGTGTACTCAATTATCCGCAGTGAATCAATAGCGATGAGATGAGGGTAGTTCGGATCGTGACGCACGTAGAGGCTTTTTAAAATTAAGTTCGGCTGTGTAATGTGCTCTTAATTTTTCGATCGCGCTCGACGAACTCTCTAGAGCCTTTACGTACCGATTCATTTTATGTACACGTCAATGTACACTGATTTAGTCTAAAGGTTTTGCTACTTTGGGTTTAAGCTCTTATAAAAAATGCATTTTCGAACATTCCCAATGTCTGGTAACATCAAACAAGAATATCGTTTTGTGCAAATAAACAGTTGAATTAGCTGCGAAACCAGCCTTTAACCACGATCTCAACTAGGTGGATCGAATAGATAACAATACCTACAACAAACAATCTGCAATGTACTAACGGCTAGAGAGCTTGTTAGCGATTGAGTGACTGTACGCAACTAAAAGACTAAGGGGCGCCTCACTTCTTGCAAAGACTTTTATGAAACTACCCCCCCCACTACTACTTCCGTTATTATTATTTTGTAACAATACAATAATAAGCTTATATATCTACAAATGTAATCTTTTTATTTCTCTGTACCTTTGTTCCTATTATTTACAACCTACCAAAGTAGCACATGATCCTTAAGTAGGGGTTTCAAACAGTTTTGTATTAATTGTTAAAATATTAAATTATTTAATACATCAAAGCTAGATGTTCAATCAAGTTATTTACGTGATCTTTCGTGTTTCATTGATTACCATGATACTTATTTTAATTACTTAGGAAGGAAACTTAAGGAAACGAAGCTCATAACGCACTGATAAAACTTACAATTTAAGTTAGTAAAATAATCTTAACCATATTATCGTTAAATTCACTTTTTATAAGTTATTTTAATGTAGTTATAATAAAAGGAAACGCAAATAATATCAAATGATACGTCATCTCACGGATTCTCCAAATACTAGTTGAAGGAGTGAACTTTTAGCTTTTATCGAAACGATGGTTTAATATAAAATGATTATTCCTCCACCCGTTAGATGGCGCTTTTCCACAAAAAGAAATTTAGGTCTTTCCAGAAAACCATAATAATTTTCTAATTTAGTTCGGACGCTTACAAATCTAGAAGTTTCTACACTATTTTTTATAGAAAATTTTGGGGACTTGGGGTTAAAATAAAAGCTTTTTTGATCCGCAACTTACTTTATTTATAAAAGTAAAACTATGAACAAAAAAATTACGCACTTTACATTGCAAAATTAAAACAATTTATTCTTAAATTTTTTTACGTTACAAATAATATGAATATGTATACAATATAACTCCAATTATCGTACTTAAAGCAGTAAGGATAGAGTTCAAATTTGTTTGGCACGATATTCGATAATTTAGGACGGCACTAACTACGTAACGTAAAATAAAATAAAAATCAACAATTTAGAAAAAAAAATAGCAAAGAATAAACAATATTAAAATAGAAGAACAACAAAAAAACCTATGTTTACAACATATTTACATAGCAGTTATTCTGACCGTTTTAAATAACAATAAATGAAAAAAAAATGACTAATCGCTAAGAAAAGTCATAATTTACATACATATGAAATTTTAAACGTTTTATTGTTCTTAAATTACTAGTGAAATTGGTGTATTTTGAGGCTTGATTGATTGACAATTATTTCTATGAATTTTGTACGAAAGCGGAATTCAATACAAAATATAAACGTCTCTACATACATCGAGGTTTAGGTTAAGCGCCATCTGCGCTCGGCCACCTCAAGCCCGGTGGATCTGTAAATGCCTCTACACGGCAAACAGTGGCCATTCAGTCACAAAAATATCTACATACATTAAAATTATTGTATTATTTGTTAAAATCTAACAAGATTCAATAGCACATTACTAAAAGAACAGAATAAATTCGAGTCTTCCCATTAAATAAATTAAGAACCCTACATTGCATAAAATTAATAAAAAGAATTATTCACAACGTTTTTGATTTATAAAAACATAAACGCGCATTTACGTTAAGTTTATTGACATTAAAGTAACTTAACTGACAGTTGAATTGCTTGAATAATAAAACTCAGATTGTCACTTAAAAAGGTTAACAATGCTATATAACTAACGTTTCGTGCATATTTTGTATTAGGTATTATATGAAAATTATCTACCAACCAAGCCGAGTGATCCTTAACCTATGAGTATTCTAAATTCGCTACGAAACAAAAATCTCTCATACACAATCATTTCTCTACAATTTACTTATCTACTTATCCTTGTGCGATCAGCATTTAAAATTCCTCTATTCATATTATGGCAGTAAATAATAAATCAAGAGTAAACAGCTACTTTTTAAGATAGCGCGTACCTCGTCTTTTATTCTTACGTCTTTTATTTTATTTATCTATATACAAAAATATACAAAGAAGTGTTTGTTTACGCTTTATTATAATAATCTATACTATTATAATAAAGTGTAAACACACACTTCTTTGTTTAATAAATAAAAGTTTTAATAAAAAGCCGTACACTTACGTCACGCTCTAGGCTATGTATTTTCACGCCATTAAACTTAGGAGACAAATATTTTGGAAAAAAAACTAATGTGAAAAGAGACCATAAATTGCTTTCAACATGAAGGAAACAAGATTGTCGAGGTTTGCCATGTCATGTCATTTTTTGACCGACTTCCCAAAAGAAGGAGGTACTCAATTCGTCGATATATATATATATATATATATTTTTGACATTTGCTATCAATATTTTATATAATTTCATGCGGATGAAGCCGTACGGGGCAAGCTAGTATTTAGATAAACCAACAGGACAAAATTTAGACATTTTTACACAATACAATAAGTAACATGCAGATAATTTATCCCAATTATACACGACATAAATAGAAAAATAACAACAACAGTAAAAATAGTACAATAGTAGACAGAGTATGTTTTTATCTATTTTTTATTGAACCCAAAACATAAAAATGTAAACGATAACCTCTCGTAGATGTTCTTTCAACTGCATCCGTTTTCTTCAGATGGGATCGTGGTCAAGCGCTAGCTTAACAAAAATACATAGACATATACTCTACCTTCTATATGTCACTGCTTAGAAACAGTTATCTCTATTAGTTCAAATCCTTACCATCATCGGGTACTGTTACCGCCAAAATGGCCAACATCAAATAGGCACAAATCACGGCTTATAGCCAGTCCGTTGAAGTTTTTGGTGTCTTCGTTTGCATTGTAATAACACCCTATCACTAGGTATATGCCACTGCATTGTAATCTCGTCTAAAACGTTTGGGGATACCTAGCGTTCATTCTAATGACGTCATTTCAAAGTTTCACAAAATAAATATATCCATTCCGAATGGGGTTCTATTATAAATTTGTACTAACCTATATCTTGACTAACAATTTACTTAACCTATTTTAAGATAATGATGCAATAAAATTAAAATATTAACAATGAAAAATGCTTATCAGCGTACTTTAGTATTTTACGATTTTGATGTTTTACGAGTTTTTTATTTTGCTTCAAGAATTAACTTTCTTATGGTTTTCTTATAAAGTATCTGATAAGCATTTATGAGCAGAAAAGCCGCTATGATTATTTTACGAATATAACAATAATAACAGTTACGAGATTACCGCCATGTGGCGTATGAAATCGACTACCATTATTCCGATAGTCGTTTCGGCACACGGGCTGATAGCGAAGAGCTTCGACCAACACCTCAAGAAGCTCTCGCTAGACAGTTGGATTAAGGGCCCGATTCAAAAGGCGGTTATTTTAGAAACCGCACGACTAGTGAGGAGGTTCCTGTCTCTGCAGCCCTGACCACTGGTTGCTTGAGTCATCGGATTCCGCAGCCGGTGGACTTACTGTTTTTTTATATAATATGTTTTATTTTGTTATTTTTTTAAGAAAATCATGTGAAATGTATTATATATAAAAATAAGAGAATAAAGATATGAAGAAATATATAACAGTTATATTAAAAATACGATAATCTACTAATAATACAGAAATACCATATCAGATATTTGTAGAGAAGTAGAATGTAGAGAACTATATTTAAGTTTGTAGAGTTCCCTAAATATAGCAGCATTATACAAATATATACTACACTGATTAATAGAATATCAAATTTTGGCAACATTAAATATTAACAGAATAAAACAGAGTCAATCAGAAAACAACACTAAAGCTTATAGCATACAATTATTTAGAGAACATTTAGAAAAATCCTGAAATAAACCTCAAATTCCTTATCTGACATAAAACTAGTAGAAGACCTTAAGAATAGATAAAAATAAAATTATATCTAAATACTTGATCATAATTATGTTATTTAATAAAAAAAATATTAAATTAAATGCTGGAGGAACCCATTTTAAAATGCATCAAAAGAAATTCGATTTACTTTAAAAATTTCTGTCCTATCTCTACTTAAATGTATAATATAACTTAGGCTGCCAACTTTAGCTGGTGCTATCAGACTTGCCGGACTCGCTCTCCTCCGTGATGGTGATCATTGGCGGAGGAATGTCGTAACCGAAACCTTCCGGTGACACCTCATTTTGTAACTTCTCGAATTTCGGAGATCCAGTCAACATCACCTCCTTCACTGACTCATAAACATCTGTTCGGATCGTTGGCAAAGAACCTTTTTTACTCTTACAAACATCTTTTAAAGGTAAATCTTCCGTTTTCTTCTCCATTACTTCAGACGAAGGTTTGTTGTCTAAATTTAAAGGGGCAAAATCACTTTTATCTTTCCTTTCTGGGCTTTTACTCTTTTCAAACATTTGTACAGCTACTCCATTTTCCATCTTTCTTTCTTTCAAATCATGTATATGTTGCAAGCTGTATTCTCTAGCTTGTACATCAGAAAGTAGAGGCCCGTCAGTAGATCCTTCGATACAATAACCAGGTCCTTGCAAAGCGTCGCTACCAATTATAGAATCCTGTTTAAAAATAGCTGCAGTGACGACTGGCTTATAGGGATCAGTCGGTGTCTTGCCTATCAGTGGTTCCTGGGAATTATCATGAGTAATGCCATCGGTATCATCTTTTGATATATCATAACCAGTGTAAACTGGATATCCAAATGGTCCCTGTTCATACCCCATCTGACTTCCGTATGAGTAGCTGACATTATGAGATCCTATCGAAGACATACTAAGATCAGAAATTGAAAGTCCAGTACTGGATAATGCTAGCGCCTGTCTATCGAATTTTTCACTACTCCTTTCACTGTCTTCTTCTATAATTCTCCTTTCTAACTCTTCTGGTATGCGATGTATTAGGGCTTGGTTTGTGGATATTTGAGGATCGTGAGGCGGTGAGTTCTGGATCGACTTGCACGGTCTGTATACCGCAGACTGCTGGACTTCCACCACGAATATACCGTCGTTGTCTGGAGAATACTTCATTTTTGTTTCGCGACCGTTCTTCGTTATGTCCTGTAAAGGTAATACTTATATTAATGATACTGTGTTAAATTCTTCTATCTTTGTGTCTTTTATTTTAATAACTATCCTTGTTCATAGCATAAAATCTGAAATTAAACTACAGTTTTCCGCAAAAATAATTTTACGCAATGTAATTTTGCTGACGAAAGGCTAAGGCTCGAATAAGCCACAATAGAGGACATTCAGAGAAAAATAAATATAAAATTCGCATAAAGGTGCAAAACAATGACACAATCGTAAGAACGAGTTCCCATGCAAACTAGAATTTACACAAAGATATCATTGAAGTGTTTCTTAGAATAGGAAGTGAGCATTCCTGGGGATCATTGACCCCCAAAACCCGCGTCGCAGCAAACTGAGAACAATAAACTACAACTGCTGACACGACCATGCTTTATGACAGAATAATGTATGAGAGTAGCTGAAACGATTTGCCTGCTTCGTGTATTTGTTAAGCATTGAAGCTTCAGTACTAAATTTCAATTAAAATATGATAACAAAACATAAAAAAGGCGGATGTTTGTTAAATCAAGGAGATAACTTCATAGCTTAATAAAAACTATCTACTTTTATATTCAACGATTTCTTTAAGAACTATTCAACAACTAACTCTCTTAATTAAACTAGTTTATAAATTATTTTAATTAAAACTTAACCAGTGGTGAGCTAGATAAATAACTTTAGATCTCATTATGGCGTGTTACTCAAAGTTTTGCCGTTACTTAGCTGTGTAGTTAAACGATATTTTATTTTGAAACTTATAACGTAATGAAAGTTTTAATCATAGTAATTAAATTTTAATATTTTTCCATGAGATTCTTTGAAATTTCAAATCATATTATTTTCCTCGAAAAAATACAAACAAGAAACTACTTGTGGTTTTATTGAATTTATTACATTCTAAAGAGACGTTAAAAATAAACTCGCTTCATTATTTAAATAGTTTTTATCGGAAAATAAATTATTTGAACTAAAAAGGCATTTACTTGATTATATACAAGCTTCACATTACAAATTATTAAAATAACAAGTACTGAAGTACACCATAGAGAATACTCCAAGTAACTCAAAATGTATCTATACTTTAGTGTTAAAAAAAACATAAATAAAATGGAATCTGGAACTTATTTGGGTTTTATACGAGATCTTAATTATTAAAATAACACCGTCAAAAGTAAATTTAAGAAATTAATAACGTTAACATCTTAATTGTAAAAAAATGTCCGTGATAAAAACATATTGAATGCGAATTAAATGACCTCTAAATATAAGATTTCAGTTGTATCGTTAAATGTTCGTCAATGAGTGGTTTCGTTTACTTTATAAAGTCATAGGAGTGAAAGCAGAAAAACATATCATTTTTTACTCGTACAACTTGTTGCAATTATTGGTACAAGTTGACGTAAGAATTTCAAGACATAGTCATAATTTGGAAGTCGTTTATTTTATTTTAAATCTTAATACTTACTTACTAGACACCAATTTTCAATATTTACAAAACTTGCTTAAAAAAGATGCAATTTTCCATATACAAGTTTTATTTCCTCTTCTAATAAAAATTCGGAGTCTACACTTCCCTTGTCCTTTTTCATTACCTCTAACCTTTTATCAACATACCATCTTACTAATCATACTTATATTATAAATGCAAAAGTTTAGATGGATGGATGGATGTTTGTTAGAGTTTTTAGCCTAAACGGCTCAACGGATCTCGATAAAATTTGGTATAGATGTAGAGGATAGTCTGGAAGCAAACATAGGCTACTCACTGTTGTTTTTATTTAACTCCACGCGGACGGAGTCGCGGGTGATAGCTCGTAATATTATAAATGCAAAAGTTTAGATGGATTGATGGAAGTTTGTTAGAGTCTGTAGCCTAAACGGCTGAACGGATCTCAATGAAATTTGGCATAGATGTAGAGGATAGTCTGGAAGAACATATAGGCTACTTGGTTTTTTTTTTATTACCACGCGGATGGATTCGCGGGCTAAAGTTAGTTAAAAAATAAATTACAATTATTTTCTCTAGATACGAATACATACGTTTCGTTCTTCAGTCTCCACGATGAGATGATTGTTCTTGAGTGTCATAGTGAATATAGAGCCATTGCCGGGCGGTGACTCTTCTTCCTCCAGCCCCTCTAGCCTTCCGCCTACACTAACGCCATCTTCACTCGATTTTAACTGAAACATATAGTTTGTATTTACCTTAAATAAACTAGATGCTGGGGAAAATAGGTCAGACTTGTATAATTGTTTTCGAAAACAAAACATAACTAAAAACAAAGTACAAACAAATATTAAATAAAGTCACATAAATAAAACAAGAAGTAACAATTAAATTGTTTACTCTTAAAAACAATCATTTTGATTCCAGTGAAGTCCGTGATTTCATGACTCTGGGACTGAAGGTAACACTAAACATTAACTTTTTTTATCACCATATTAAATGTTGTCCGTGTGTAACATTATACTTTGGGCAAAGGTTACGTCGTACAATAAGTTACCTGAAGATTTCATCGCTCTAAGAATATAGTAGCTTTTCAAAACAATATTATTAAAAGAAAAAATATTTAGCAATAATAAAACAGAAAACTGGAATCGTCTAAGAAAAGGGTCGTATTTCGCAGTAATTGTAACCAAATAACAACGATAATAAAAATTGCGAATTTTCTTCAAAATCTCGTAAACATGAGAAGGATTTTGCTTTTGTTTTTCTCATACTAGCTGTTGCTCGCGACTTCGCCCGCGTGAAATTAAAATATAATAAAAACACAGCCTACTTTACTCACAGATTAAATTACCTTTCTAATGGTGAAAAATTTTTTTAATAAAGATATAGACCAGCAAAAGATCTTTAAACAGCGTCAGTCTAATGTTTTAATCCATAAATATTACTTTCATCGCTCGAAGCAAAACTGATGACTAAGGAGAAGTGACACAGAGGGTTCTATTTGCCGCCTCGCCTTTTGGAGGTCGCTAATGATTTGCGTATTGATGAATCGTTCACCTCCGCCCACGTACAGACGCAAGGCAAACGCTGAAGCGATAAATGAACTTACGAAGTAAACTGCTTGATGTATGTCCTCTGTGAATCTTGTTGTTGAATAACGTTACAAATAAACAAAAGTATTTTTAATTCATTTTGTTTTAACAACTTTTTTCAACAAATGTACAGTTACTCAATTTCAATTCAAACTCTGCACTTATAACGTCAATTGAATTTTAATGTTCTGTAAATTTTATCGCTTTAATCTTATAACTTGATTAATTTAATAAAACCAATCGTTGCTGGTCCCTAAAACTATGTCTAATTCTTTTTCTTGCATTAAAATGAATATGTAAGTGCAACGCAAGGTAGGTCTTGATTGAACGGTTTTGTCGTTTCACATCATAAGAATTCATTGCATTTTTAAAGAACATGTTTTAAATAATTGATTGTCAAATGAATGTAAGTTTTAAACTTGAGGAGATAAAGTTCATATTTGATTAAATTGTTTCACAGATTTTTAATACAAGTTAAGTTGCAAAAACGTTCGTAAAAAAAACTGTGGTATTCCGATTTTTGATAGCTAACGCACCGCGTCCAGGTGTAGACGCCCTGACGGACGAATAATGAGTTATTTTATTACAAAAATTGTCAAGAGTTCATTTTGAGATGATAATGCACATTTCATGAAGTAAATAAAATACTTCACTTAATAAAAACATCTTAAGTTTTGTGATAAATTAACTTTAAAAAAAAATACGATAAGAAAAAAAATGCAAATTTTGAGTTGCAATTATTTTTAATGATGGCAAAAAGTAACGTAGAAAAAAATATACGATTTTGATTGTATTTTTACCAACTAAGATTATTAAATAAATAAAAAAACTTATTGTTTGTATTAAAGCTTTTTCTTGTGAATGCGTCCGCACCGACATGAAAAAATCCTAGGAAGTAGCATAAATATTCTTCTAGACTATGTACTATATCTATACAACAAACATCCATCCACACAAACTTTCGCATTTATAAGCGTATGTAAGAACGCCAAATAAAGAAACCACGTTACGGAATGTATTTGTAAAATTCCTGATCAAAAAATACAAAATAAAAGAAACACAGATAACAGTTCAATAATGTATCACACTGTACCCAGATTTCCTAATTAACACTTACATGTAACATAAAGGTCACCTTGGAGCCTAGATGGCAGTTACATCTAAGCGAGGATGGGGTCGATGGCCGGTCGTCGGCCGCAAATTTCGGCCAACTTTTTTTGCAGCCGCGCAGCCTCTTGCAATCGAGTTGCACTTTTTAGATGCACCTACTCTTGCTATACCACTATCTAACAACCGAACAGCAAACTGAATGGAGTAGACATGAGATCGTGTAATATTCATCATTCCAAGAATTTATTGTCACATACACTTACGAATGTGAACGTAATACAATTCGCGTACTCAAAAGATATACTTCTATGCTCATCTTCTGTGAAAATAGGAGTCATTCTGAAAAAAACTTATGTATAAAAAAATCTGCTTTGATTTCCTACTGCTTTAAGGCATCTTTGTTATGCAGGACCAGGCTGAAACCATTACACTATTTTTATTACTACATCACAATAGCGACATCAAGCAAGGAGTTTTATTTACGTTACTTAAAGAGGATCTAGCATCCCACACATCAGATTATCACAAAGAAAATAAAGACAAATATTTTTTTATGAAGTTCATTAAATAATTTTAGCAAGGTTTCATCTCCACAGTACTTTTGTTCACGCATGCATGCGTCGTCGAAGCCAGTTTGACTAGATTTTTGGCAACGGCCGAGTGGGCTGCTTCCCTCCCCCGCCCTCCGCACTCCGCACCCCGCGCCCGTTTCAGTCTCACCTTTATGTCTTTAACATCTTAGAGCATAAGATTTAAAAGAAAATTTTATAAGTTAAGTTTCTAATTTTTTTGCCATAAAACATTTGCGTTTTTAGTAATAAAATGGAGGTATGAATGTTTGTAGAATTCAATTTTACATTTATAAGAGTTTAATGAATCACTTCTTTTCACTCCTTACATTACAATAAAAAACAAAAGAATTCTCTAATGAATTATTTATTTTAGCTAAAGTTACGTTGATTACCAACAATATTATTTATAGAATGATTTAAATAAGTAACAGTAAATTAAAGTATAGTTTTTATAAGATAAGCTCGTTATAAACGAATCGGAATAATTTTTCCGACATTCTGTGTTATCAATGTAACGAACTGAATACTTGTTTATATGTTGATATCAAAGTTAACTTTCTAAAATATTTGAATAATATGACGGAGAGAGTTTGTTACGGATGTAATTATAAAAATATTGATTTTATTACCAAATAGTTTTATATGCCCGGAAATATTTCGGTATACGCATAATTTTAGTAATTAAATCTAATAATTACGATATACAAAGTAATTTTATCGAATTTAAGAGCGGGCACCTTTGACTAAATTATCGCACAACTGTTCTTTGATTGTCGATTGTTTCGCAGCTAATTCAACTCTTTAAATTATATATAAGCTCCTAGGAAAAGCGTGACTCAACAGTTGTCCGATAGTTTAGTTTCAGGTCCGCTTTAAACACTATCTTGATTTAACATCAATAAAGTTTTTCGATGTTAAAAGATTTGAACTGGAATGTACTAAAAATAAATTATCTCGCTGGCTTAAAAACACTGGTAAATTCCATTATTAAAATTTATTGATCTTAAATAAATTTACATTTATGTCCAAATAAGTATTAACATAACATACTACGATTTTCATTTTTACCTGATTTATTTAAAAACTCCTTAAATGTAATTAAGTATTTCGTCGTCGGATTAATTGGGTACATAAGTAAATTACTAAGACTTCGTTCAAAATGGAGTTCTCCAGGGACGGGACTTGGACCCGGGACCCTGGTTAAAGCATAATTCTTTGGATCTCGCCGTAACTTCACGAAAACGGTAAATAACGTGCTAACGTTGAAGCCCCTGGCGTTGAGGTACAGTCGGCATAATAAAATCAATTATTTATTTTATAAATATGTGACTTGACTCACTTGAAGAATTTCCGAAAATCTCAAAGAAGCAAATTTAATCACTAACTAAAATTAGTCGTCTACGTAATAACAACAAATCTTTATGCAAAATTCAAGCCTCCAAGTTTTGAATAGGCGTTAATGTATGAATCTAAAAATTGACAATTCAAATATCTTAACTTTTATATTTTGAAATAGTTTTCGTCGATATTTGCAGACCGTACTAACGTACCCTTAAGGGATTATCGGGTTCGATCGTCGAAGTGACCCGATGGAATCCGGAAGAAAAGAGAAGTCAGAATGAAACCCATTACACGCAAACGGACTTTTTAATATCAAATCAAGTATATCCAAAATAACAATTTTATAATATTTTAAATGCAAAAGCTTAGTTCGACCGATGGATGTTTGTTAGAGTTTGCAGCCTAAACGACTTAACGGATCTCGATTAAATTTGGTATAGAGAACACATAGCCTCGTTACTTTTGTTTTCTATTTTAATTCAACGCCGGAACTTTCTGCCACGCACAGCCGTGTTGTGGAACGGTCTGTCCTCGACGGTATTTCCAAATCAATACGACTTAGGGTCCTTCAAGAAGCGAGCCTAAAATTTCCTCAAAGGCCGGCAACGCATCTGTAGTTCCTCTGGTGTTGCGAATGACCGGTGTTCTGGCCGCTCGTTTGCCCCCTTCTCTTATAAAAAAAAACGCGAACGGGTTCGCGGACTAAAGCTAGTATCTACTAAAATTAACGGTTTTTTTATTTCTATTTCACACGCATCATTGTACTTGTCAGATAAATGTTGCAACACGACGTTTTCCTTCACCGTAAGAACCTACTTTCCCCGTATTGTCAGCTAATGTCAACCGACCGCGCAGATGTGGCTTATTTCCCTGCATGATTTGCACAGAGTAATGAGTCATATGTGAATGTGTGCAGAGTGATGATTTATACATGAATTTCTTTGTTCTTACACGAAATGTCACAAAACAATATGAAATTGAATGTTTTATCAAATAGAGTTTTGGCTACGCGGCTTTTATTCACAAACTAGGAGTACACTGTAAAGTATTATGTGTAAACATTTTACCTTCTTTACATACGACGCTTAATTAATTTATACTTAAATATTAGTAGCT